TTTTATATATTTACACTTATACTTTATACTTAAAACAAACAAACAATTGGGACATTCTGTAATATCGGTTTATTGTAAAATAAATGAAGAGTAAAATGAAAAAAAAAAAATGAAAAATGAAAATCAAATGAAAATATTTTAATCTCAACTGTTCTTCAAAAAACAAGCACCTTCCATCTCCATGAGAGTTCTTCCTCACATCACTTTTGCCCAGCTCTCCAGATGAGATGGTTTTATACATGCTCTTCTGCTCTTCATTGGCTGTGGCCGGCTGAAAGAGATCATTACATATATTATGCAAGAGCAAAGATCTCTAACTGACAGTTATTGGCAAGGTTTGTCTGTCAAAACCTTCTATAGCACAATATAAGCCGTTAAATGGACACTTTGCCTTTTCCTTTCACTTCAGCCACTATTTTCCGGTAGGTAGTGTCAGTTTAAAACATTTACAATGGGCACAAAGAGTAAGAACATGTGTTGCTCCTTAACATAGTCTGAAAGCACTAAGTGGTTAAATTAATTTCTTCTACAACACTAATGCACTAAAACTAACCAGTGGCACCACAATGAAAGTGCACTTTAAAGATAGCATATGACTACAAAAAGTAAATCTCTTAACTTTTAAAAACAAAAAACAAACAAATAAAAAATGAACAATAGTATTTAACCGAAACTAGATGGGTCATTCTACAAAACAGGTACTCTTTGCATAATTTAAATAATAAATACAGTAACTTATATTAACAGATATAAGTAACCGATATTTACAGATAAATAACAGATATTTTGTATTATTATAGCCATTTTTCTAAACAAATCTAGCAACTTATTTACTCTATCTCTCTCTCTCTCTCTCTCTCTCTCTCTATATATATATATATATACATATTTGATAATAAAAAAAAAGAGGCACCGGTTTCATTCAATGACCCAGATAATGACTGAATTCTACTGTATTGTTAAACAACAAGAATGGAAAGAGTGATTATTGGAAAGAGAGGTACAGAATAAGAAATATAGAATATGTGCCATGACAGTTCCATTGCTTTAGCCTTGGTGAATTGTTGCAGAAGTGAAGACAGAGCTAGATGTTAAAGCATGCAGTACTCTTTATCCAAGGTGGCAGTGTAGAGAGCAGAATCTCGCAGAAGGTCTTGGTTGATCAGGAAGGAGCAACCTATAACTAGCATAGCTGTTATGTCTAGACAAGCAGCGTGGTCAGATTGTGAAGAGTGCCGTGGGTTAAACTTTACGCAAGATGCCTTTTTACATCAGGAAAGAAAAGCAAAATTCTGATGGAAGCCATCCATATCTGTGTGGCTGGTTCATGAACCAATGTACTGAAAAAAACAGAAGTTCTGGGTCAAGTGTGACAAAGAATTATATCTACTATATTTTTGTGCTGGATGAAAATGCATAAAAATTAGGGCTGTCAAAGTTAATAGAAAAACAAATGAGATTCATTAAATTTGTGTCAAGAAACAACTGTAAAAAAGGTTTAAATGACTAGTGAAAAATGAATACTGCTTTTGACAAATGTTTATAATGTACAGTAACATGGTTTTGTGTGATGTTACAGTACATCCAGACCAATAGGTGTCAGCATAATGTCCAAGAACACTGTTCTACTGGCCATTGCAACAAACAAAAAAGCTTGGGGATATTTTGGTTTGTGACTAAAAGGGATACAGCTATGACTGGAAACTAACAATAAATAAAAAAAATTACCTATTAGATTGTGTTTTATTAACGTCTACACCTACCCGTTACAATAATGCAAAAACAGTAATTATTGTTGTATAGTGTATAGACAAAAATTACGCTATAGACAAAATATATATAGTTGTATAGACAAAAATTACGCTATATTAATGTGCGCATGCCCAGTAGCCGCAGCTGTACCCCTTCTAGCATTAACTGATATTTTGGGGAAAATATACCCAGAAGTGAGTTAAATCTGACAAAATCTTTTCGGGAATGTAATGTAAATTAAACTAAACTAAACTATAAAATAAAATATAACAAAAAAATAAAAAAAATAAAGCAAAATAAAAAATAAGATAAAAATTGTATATAACTTTTTTATTGTAAAACATTTAGGTAGGGTGTTGGTTAGGGTTAGGGTAATATATTTATATACAGCTATTTATCTAGCTGTATATAAAAACAATAGGTGTCTACGAAATGTCCCCATTTACAGTAGATAGCTAATGGCGCTTTTCCACTGCGTGGTACGACACGGCTCGGCTCGGTTTGCGTTTCCACTGCAGTTTAGTATCGCGCTAGAGTGGGTGGGATTATTCACATGTCGTTAGTTGCACCGCCTATACTGCCGCGACTCCTGAAAAACTTTTTAATTCCACGTCGCCCCCATCAAGCTCTCGCTGGATCCGCTCCTCTGCTATCAACGGAGGAACGTCTGTACTTCCTCAACAGACAACGAAACAGCCACTTTTTGGTTGTTAAAAAAAGGTGCGCTCATTCAAAACAGTTGCGTTTGATCCTTCGCTGGCTGTGCTGATTTAAATCTAGCGGTTCTGTTGTGTTTGTGGCGCAAGTTCAGTGACGCAGGTAGTGACGATTCTCTCCGGCCAATCCGTGATCAGCAGAGTTTACACGTCACGTTTTGGTAACGGTACGGTTCACTTGGAACCTCAACCGAGGTGGTACTAAAAAAAGTACCAGGTACCAGGTACTGTACCCAGTGGAAACCCCCCCAAAAATTAACCGTACCGTGCCGTACCATGCAGTGGAAAAGCGGCAAAAGTAAACTACTGTATGTATGTATTGAGGAAAATTCTAAATTTAAGATTAATCAGTATTTTTTCAATATATATATATTTTTAATCTATTGACAGCCCTTAATAAAATGCAAATGATTCTTTGCATTGTATAATTTATTTGTACAGTATTTCTATGTGGATGCAGAAAAACACCTGCCATCACAGATGAGAATAGTTTTCAAAAGGTGTTTCAGCATCTGTGGTTGAAGACTATGTCCTTCAACTGGATAGGGAGTGTAGAAGCGTTTCAGGTGGTCAGTAAGGCGATCTATCAGCTTCTTCTGGAGGAGTTAGCTGTAGAGAGAGATCTTGCTGCTGGGCCTGCTTGCGCTAACACAGACCGTTAAATTACCATTTCGGAGTCACTGTGACAAGCCTCTAGTGCGCTCTCCTCTGAGTCCTGCTTGGGGAGGGGTGTGCCAGGAGACAGAGGGGTCTCATCATACTCCTCCTCCTCTGACTCCCCCTCTCCCATGGCGTTTGAACCGCGGGTCAAGAAGTCTGAACGTGTCCGTGCCATTCGGGCTTTTTTATGACCCGGTCGGCCAACCTAATCAACCAAATGATAAAACAAATGAAGATGCTCCCCCGTACGTCAAGGTCAGGTGACCCCACCAAGGCCTCATGAGGCAGAAAGAGTTCAAAGACAAATGTATTCAATAATGAGGGAAAAAATCTTGAGGTTTGTGGAAAGCTATTTAAATCTGTCATGACCTAAAGTGTCAATTGCTACATCTCTCACCTCACTCTTAGCGGATTTGTAACCCAAGAGGCTCACTTCATTCTGGACTCCTGCGGTTTTCCCTTGATTGGCTAAGTCCTTATCCAACCTAAAACAAATTCAAGAAGTTCAAGGTTTAGATTACTCAAAAACGAAAATGCTGCCATCATTGACTCACCTTTCTATCGATCCAAAACCATATGAATTCCTTTCTTTAGCTTTGTGTGCAGAATAGACCGGAATTTAAAGTGATTATTCACTGATCATCTTATCTTTAAGCATATTTAAAGATGGCATCTTAGGAAGTTTCATGATAGGCTTAAAGGGTTAGTTCAACCAAAAATGAAAACTCTGTAATTAATTACTCACCCTCATGTCGTTCCAAACCCATAAGACCTTCGTTTATATTCGGAACACAAATTAAGATATTTTTGATAAAATCTCTCTGACCCTCCGTAGACAGCAACGCAACTGCAATGTTCCCAGGTCTAGCATCGTAGCAAAGACATCGTTAAAACAGTCCATGTGACATCAGTGGTAATCAACATCGTAATCAGCGCTGTTTATGTTGATTACGTTCTGGGGTACTCTCCAAAATGGCGGAAGACGGTAACTCGGGGAGAAGAATTGTTAAATAAATTGTGTCATTAATGTTTTCTTTGCGCACAAAAAGTATTCTCGTAGCTTTGTAAAATTACGTTTGAACCCAATGTCACATGATGTCCTTGCTACGTTGCTGGACCTGGGAACATTTCAGTTGTGTTGCTGTCTATGGAGGGTCAGAGAGCTCAATTTGTGTTCCGAAGATGAACGAAGGTCTTACGGGTTTGGAACGACATGAGGGTGAGTAATTAATGACAGAATTTTAATTTTTGGGTGAACTAACCCTTTAATATTAACGACTGCTTAAATTTGTCTGTTTCTCACACAAAGCTAATGTCTGACTTCAGAAGACTTGGATAATAGTGGAAAAGTCATATGGACTATTTTAATTTTTGAAGCCTGACAGCTCCAGGTATCCCTTTTCATTGTATAGTAAAGGACAACTTGGACATTTTATTTTTTTGCGTTCAGCAGAAGAAAGAAAATCAAACAGGTTTGGGAAGTGAGAAATGATGATCATTTTCATTTTGCGATGAACTATTTAGTAACCTTGCACTCTGAGGTCAAGCTCATCACTTACTTTGAAACCTTGGCCTTCGGAGAAAAGAACATGTTTCCAGGCCTCTCGGACATGTTCATGTTGACATTCTGAGTGGACGGTTTCGTATTTATTCTCCTTCTGGCCTCATCCCCTCTGGATTCCAGGGTCAACTTCGGTGCCCACCCTTCTGCTACATTGCGACTGTCTTTTGGTTGGCCTCTGAAAATGGAAGGAGCAGCTTCCTTTTCCGGGACCAGTGGCTGGGAGCTGAGGTCAGGCTCTGGCTGAGCTAAGGGAGCAGGGCCTCTGTCTGTGAATGGCTTTCCTCCTGAACCTTCTTGTCTACTCTGCTCGATCCTTTGCTGAGCTTCAACCCTCTGCTTCTCATACCTCTCCCTCTCATGTTGGGAGAAAATTTCACGTTGTTCTTTCAGGATGTGCTTCTGCTGACGGATCTGCTCCATCAACTCTTTTTCAATTTGCTGCTGCTGATGTTTCTGACGCTCTTCCTTTTGCTCATTAAGCTTCTCTAGCCTTTCCAGAACATAAAGGCTTTCGCTGCTAGGCTGTGCTGGGCTTGGTGGCTCGCTGGTCTGGGCGGCACTGTCTTTGACCTCCGGAGGCTTCACATCTGCTTCATTGTAAAGGCTTTCCTTCTGCATACTAATAACCACGACCATAGGTCTCCGAGTGGACTCCTTCCTGTCTTTAATAGATTTTCTGAGGCCATCAGGGCACGGGGTGGCAGAATTCATGGTGGACTTCACAATTAGAGAGCTACTTTCTAATGGAGGGGAGTAGAAAGTTGGGAGCGAGTTCTGCATTTTGGGAGGTTCAGGTTGGCCAGCTGGTTTTGACATTATATCAGGTGCAGGAGTGTCAGAGGGCAAAGCGGACTCGGGAATGTTGGAGAACACATCGTGCTTGTCAGGTACAGAAGGAGAACCAAGGTCCTCTGGTTCGGCACAAGGTGCCTTGTCTTTGAAATAGTCATCTACATTGAGTAGCTCAAAGCTGCCCTTGGAGCTCTGGCTGTCTGGAGTACCCTGAGGAGTGTGAGGGATCTCACTGACCAGCTCCATTGACCAGCGCCTTTCTTCCGAAGGAGACGCGCCTCCAGTGGAGCGTACCTTAAGAAGCTCCAAGCTGAATTTGGCCTGCTCCAACTCTCGCATCCGCCGGCTCTCCCGTTTGGCCCGGGTCCTCTGGTTGGGATCCTCTAGAGTCTGTGGTCTTTCTCGGATTGTCACTTCAGATGTCGGTTGTACTGTTGCCGTACCCTCTGTAATCTCTGGCACCAGCTCTTCCAAAACATCATCTCCAGGCACCTCTACTGCAACAATGAGGGTCTGTTTGCTCCCGTCCTGCACCTCGCTGGAGTCTTCCCATATACTTTGATCCAAACCCATGTCTCTCAGATTGCCCTCTTCTGGTAACAGACTAGTCTTTCCATTTGGCATTTGAGTGGATTTTAAGCTCTGCTCTTGAAGTTCTCTAAATCTGAAAATTTCAAAAGACCACTTCTTAGTAGGAAGACAGGATACATGGTTAAAATTTTTTTTTAAATTGTGTAGTGCTTTTCAAAATCAGCTTTGCAGAAAATCATGATGCTAATGTCTATAATAGCTTAGTATCTTCATGCCTGTCACATTTCACGGATTAGAGATGGCCGATTATATAGTTTACATTTTGCAACTATATAAGCATTCTAGCATTTGAGATTGGCTATATATATTAGTATATATCACATTAAGTGAGTATGCTGTATATATGTGGATAAAGTTGGATGTACTGCATTTCCAACTTTATATAAAAGGCTGTGCAATAATATAATTTACATTTTGCAATGATATAAACTATCACACAGCTGAGATTTGATATATAGTACATGTTGCTTTATGTAAGTGTACTGTATGCATGCCGTTGGATGCACTATATAGTAAATACAACTTTGAATTCATCGCTGGACAATAATATTGTTTACATTTTGCAATGATATAAACAATAAAAATAAAAAAACAACAACAACAATAAAGGTTAGTAAACATCCTTCTAAACTTTTTTAAGTTGGTGTTAAACCAACCAGAATTTTGCTTGGCAGTCTACCACTATGAACCCTGTATAAAAAGCATTAGAATGTTGATTGGTGTAACCCAGACCATTATAGAGTTCTCCCTGTATTATTAGGCAATTTATTTCAACAGAGCTGTACCTCTGTAGAAAGGGTTGTATCATACCTCTGCCTTGCCAGATAGCCTCTACCCACTGCTTGCATGCGGATGGTGATATCCCGCTGCCGGAGGTAGAGCTCTCTGGCCCTGTGTCTTCTCCATGCAGTCTGGATCCGGAGGGCTGCCCGCCCCCGCCAATACTGCCTCCAGGTTCTCTGGATCACCACGGCTGCCTCCCTCCACAGCAGGAGTCTGCGCCTCTCTTTAAAGCCTCTCCAGGCCGACTGGATACAAACCGCTGCCCCCTGCTGGACATACTCAAACCTGCTGACCCCCTGTGAAGACTGACAGCTCCTCCACCAGTTCTACAGGAGACAACACAACACAAAGGGGATTTAATAAAATATTTACTCCAAAATATTTGGTGTAAAAACATGTTTTAGAATAGACAGGAATATACTTTTTCACATGTACAAAACAGTCTTATTAGAAAAATTAATACTAAATACTAAAAAGTAATCTTACTAAAGAATACTTTGGTCAAAACATGGAAATGCCAAGATGTAAATCTAAATATTTATAATATTTCAAAAAAGGATCAATACATAACTGCAACCAGTCCATCCACTTTTTTTTTTAAACATCCTTGAGTGTTTGACGGAACAAATAATTCCCCTTTAGAGTTAAAATAATATTTATTTAATACTAAATTCTTTATTTCTGTAAGTGCTTCCACTGTTTACATGTCAAAAGCCTAAACCAAATACCACAGACACGGTTCCCACACCTTCTGCCCAATGAACAATGAACTTCCATTAATTTTCAGTCATTCAAGATGGACATTGGTAAATGATTTTTTAGAAATCATTAAAAAAAAAAAATTATAAATAATTTAAATAAAATAATTAAAAACTAAACCGGTTTAAAAAAAGAAAAATTTGATATAATTTTTCCCTTAAACTATATATTTTTTTATGCAATCCAAATTGAAAAGAACATCTATAACTTTATATCTATAACTTTATCTATATATCTATATCTATATCTATATCTATATATATATATTTATTTTTCTCTCAATTCCAAATGAAAAAAAAAAATCTATAACTTAGCATTGTTTATTAAAAAAAAAAGTAAAAAATAAATCTTAGCGGTACCTGTATCTGGGAAGCAGCCTGTCTCATTCTGAGGAAGTTCCTTCTCTCCAGAAGAGCTCTGAAACGTCGCTGAAGATTAATGATTCTACGCAGCACCTCCTGATGGAGCAGGTCTTGTAGCCGCTGACGCTCTGTTTCACGGAGGAACACCTGCCGTACACATGCATAGACAAAGAGACGCGTCACATGCATGCAATACTGTACATTTCCAACAAAGCTAACCATGAATGGACAGTATGTGTCATCCCAAAGGCATCAGAAAAAGTTAGACTCTAGGAATTTAATTAAGTCCTATCACTGGCAGAGGCTGAGGGTTGATCATACCATGGTATGGCCCATTTGGAACCCTTCAGGAGTGAGAGCCACCTGGTGCAGGTACCGTCTGATAGCTTCCTGGCTGGCCTGGTTGGTACCCTCTGGTAACAGCACATGGAAGTGTCGAACGAAGTCCTGGAGGGCATAACACAGAGACTTTTTTTCTTGATGGCACACACACAAAAAGTCATTCACTTTCTAAAGCATCCAGGAAGTGACATTTCTCATTAAGGCCTTAAAACTGGGCAGATTTCAGAACACTAACATCACTGTGAAGGCATGCCTTATTGAAGTCTCCGTCGATGCAGCCCACTGGGGGTGGACAGTCTGGTAGGCAGATTCCGTTGTGTATGCAATTATTCCTGGCCACTTTTATTGCAGACTATAGAGAGCCTCTGTGAAGTCAGCTAACTACACCAGCTTCATATCTTACAGAAATGACTGGGGGCGGAAACACTCAGGCTTCATAAAAAGACCCTTGAGCACACATTGTCAAGATGGAGAACTTAATAAAAATAAGTCATTGCTAAACAGTTGCTAGAGCTGAGTGGTTGTTAGCACATTGCTAATGTTTGCTAACTGTAATGATAGGTGTTTACTTACTGATTATTAGAGGCTATATTACAGAAACTTTTTATCTTAATTCTTGACTAAAGATTTGATAAAGTGAAAGTGTGGCTTAAGGGTCTGTGTATTTTTATGTCCATTCCATTTTTTTTTTTTTTTAAACCACAAATGAAATACAGAAATACATGCATTTCCCTTTTTATGGTACTAACACTCATTAATTGAATAAGCAGATACAAACCCATTTTCCTTATATAACATTATTATTTCTCCTATAATCTATATTTTTATTTTAATAAAGTGTATATTTTATTTTGTGAGAAGCATGTTGTGTGTACAGTACAATTTTGATATTCAGCTTTAAATAAAAACACCATTCTTTTATAATTTTCCTCATGTCATGTCATGGATAAAAAAAAAGATAAATGGATGCAAAAGTACACATACCCCTCAAGTCCCACATTCATGTAAAGGCCATTTTACACAATACCCAACATAAGAAACCGTAATAGTGAGGCTTGCCTTAGAAAACACTTTTAATTATTGAAAAGAGAGCTGATGATCTGTTTGAACTATCAGTCATTAGGGATTCACAGTGTGTAAACTAATCCTATTTGTATCATCTACATGATGCTATTTGTCTGGGCTGAATTCACAGAAAGTGGCCAAAACAACAGAATCATCCCCAGACAGCCACACCCAGGAAAGGAACTGAATAACTAGAAACAATGATTTCAGCTTTGGAACTCCAGAAGATGAGGATAGGATCAGAAATTAGGCTGATCCGTGTACAACATCATTCAAAAGTTTGGGGGTCAGTAAATTCTTTTTTTCATTTTTTTTTTTCAAGAAATTAACACTTTTATTGAGCAAGGATGCATTAAACTGATCAAAAGTGACAGTAAGGTCTTTTAAATTGTTATCAAAACATTTGATTTCTTTTGATCTTTCGATTTCATCAAAAATTCGGAAAAAATGTATCACGGCTTCCACAAAAACGGTTTACATCATTGATAATATCAATAAATGTTACTGAAGACTAGAGTAATGACTGATGAAAATTCAGCTTTGCATCACAGAAATAAATTACCCTCTAAAATATATTCAAATTAGTGCTGTCAAACGATGAATCGCGATTAATCACATCCAAAATAAAAGCGTTTGTTTACATAATATATGCGTGTGTACGTTGTATATTTATTATGTATATACTAGTGCTGTGTTCAAAATATCGATATGACGATGTATCGTCACAGAGATTTGACGATACGAGTATTGATACAGCTGGCCCTGTATCGATATTGTGGCACGTGTGCAGCAGTGGACCACGCTTAATTTGTTTAAAATTTTACAATGTTTAAAATTGAGTAGAAAAGTGCGAGGTTTCTAAAAAAGAATGAATAGAGCATATATAGGCTACAACAAGGTTTAATCTAGCCGCAGAGGAACACAACTGGGTTGCCTGATATAAAGAGACGGAATCCCCGAATCCATATTTATTTATTTTATTTGTAAATATTTTCAAAATATATACTGTATATGTGTATTTATCTATACATAATAAATATACACAGTACACATGCATATATTATGTAAACAAAAACTTTATATTGGATGCGATTAATCGCGATTAATCGATTGACAGCACTAATTCAAATAGAAAACAGTTATTTTAAAGAGTAATAATAATTCTAAATATTACTGCTTTTACTGTATTTTTAGTTAAGCATTAGAGACTTCTTTTGAAAAACATTAAAAAAAAACTTTACTGTATGTGTGCATTAGTCTCACCTGAAAAGTGTAATTGATACTGTAGCCAGATTGTCGGATACGCACGGTTTCCAGCATGCCTGTGTAGCGAAGCTGTCTCAGCACCAGGGCATCATTAAAACGCAGAGGGAGCTGAAAAGCAGCAGGGATTTATGTCAAACAATAAACACAGAAATGTATACAGTCTATAAATGATCAAAAAGCAATAGAAAAAAAATGTTTAAATTTAACCACTGTATTTATAATTAACACAATTTATTGAGACAAACAACAAATATTTTTTGTTTTAACAATCAAACACAATAAAACTTAAACAAATATCTAATTTCTAATGTTTTATATGCACATTAATTAGGTCTTTATTGTATAGGTCTAATTGTCTCCCGAGGCCACAGGAAGCAAAATAATGCAGCTGTACATTATGAGTGAAATTAATACAAAACATTCACATGGACTCACACACCTTTTCGGCATTTGATCGTATGCACTTCACAAAGTATGGCTCTGACTGACCCAGCGTCTCCATCAGTTTGTTGAGAGAGGCCTTAAATGAAGTAAAAAAAAACAAAAACAGAAATAAATTAATAAATAAGCATTTGTTTAGGTTAAATGATATTTCACATTAGTACACAACGTACATGGCAGAAACAAGCTGTATGTTGTCTGCATTACTTTAACTGGCTGAATAACACATTGGGCTATAGTGTTCAAGAAATTTCACTCCATAAGAAAAATTAACATTTAAAAGAAATAAAAAAATATATTCTAAATGGAGACAATGATGTCTATTTTAGAACTTTTAACTATAACTTCCAATATTTTAAATGTCATCGTGTAATATGACACATATATACCATTCCAAAGTAGCAAAGAATGTACATATAGCACCTGACAAGCTAATGTTCAAGATCTTTGAAAAGTCTTTGTTGTGTGTGTTTCCATGTCTGCATCTCTCTATACAGAGGGAAAGCGGCTTCCCAAAGTGAGAGCCACACAGAACAGGATGTGGGAAGTGAGGTCATCCACACATTTGTGCAGGCCTGCTGCCAGACGCCCCAGAACTGCAGAGCGAGTGAATGTTTACAGCTCTCTGTCTCAATCTGAGACACTAGAGGGAAATGTAATTCTTAGCCAGCAGAGTGAATTGTCATACAATGCTGCATTTTTACTGCACAACTGCATTCACTTTCATGTCACATGGGATTGGATTTTTTTTTAAACAGATTTCAACATTTCTCTTTGCAAGTATTCATTTAGCAGATGAATGTTGCATTAAAAAACCTGGAAATACTTTAGTTTTTTCCCCCAGCTAGATTTCATAGCTAGATTAAACTATGAGAATCCATTATAAAATAAGCATTTATATGTTTAAATGTTTTTATGTTTAGACAAACTAAGGTAAATATCACCTTCCATTCTGATTGTCAAATTATGCAAAAAGCATGAAAATATTATTTAATTATATTAGTGCTGTCAAACGATTAATCGCGATTAATCGCATCCAAAATAAAATTTTTGTTTACATAATATATGAGTGTATTGCGTATATTTATTATGTATATATAAATACACACACATGCATGCATATATTTGGAAAATATTTACATGTATATATCTATATTCATATAATTTTTATCATATATAAATATATTTAATATATTCAATTCAATTTTATTTGTATAGCACTTTTCCCGATACAAATCGTTGCAAAGCAGCTTTACAGAAAATTAAGTTTCTACAATATATTTAGTAGTAGCTTTTGTCAATGTACATATGGCAGATTAATCGCGATTAATCGTTTGACAGCACTAAATTACATGTATTTAAAATACATAAAATGCTAACTTAGCAAGACAGAAGTCAAACATTTTATTTCATTTGAAATGGTCACGACAAAATGAATGTTGATTTGAAAATTTCTGTTTAAGCTTATGGTGGTTCAGAAATAAAACAGCAAAAATCCTTCCATGGTTCATGTATATCCACTGTTGTACACTGTTATTATTTTAAGTAAATCAACTAGAGAGAGATATTTTAAGAGAGTTTAATGTCTAATTTAATTGAATTTAAGACCACAGGACCAAAAGTGACCATAAATGTAAAACCAACAACAGCGCTGACAACAGTAATACACAGTAATACACAGTAATACGCAGATGCTCAGCTAATTCAACAGGCTGTAATGCGCATGAGTTCAAGCTCTGGGTAGGTAAGGAGATCCTGTCCAGATAAAAACAGCCATATGTCAAATACGTACTGCATCACATGATCTAAAATGCCATGAATCATAGACTTTCACAAGCAGTTTTTTTTAATTTTTTTTAGTAAAACCAAAACAAAAGAGCTTGGGAATGACAGATCAAATAAAAGTGTCATTGTATCAAAGACAGACATGATGTCATTAATTTGGGCTTTTTCTGGGGCAAATAAAACAGAGCTGTACAGGGTGGAAATTACACCATACTTACACAACACAGACATGATTCAGAATACTTTTAAAGGGGGTCATATGATGCGATTTCAATTTTTCCATTCTCTTTGAAGTGTTACAAGCTCTTGGTGCATAAAGAAGATCTGTAAAGTTGCAAAGACTAAAGTCTCAAATCCAAAGAGATATTCTTTATAAAAGTTAAGAGTCAACCACGCCTACCTAAAACGGCTCGTTCTAACACGCCCCCCAAATAAACAAAATAATGTTCTTTTTAGCAACATCATATGACCCCCTTTAAGAAAGAGAGAGATCTGACCTGGAACTGGGCACTGATACTTGGGGGTTTCTTTTTCTTGTGGAGGTGCAGCAGGGACTTTGTGATGCGATCGTGTAACGTCAGGTTACTCAGGTACTTCAGAGACTTGACATCCAGTAAGTGCTGCAGAAACACATAGACAGATGAGACACGCAGTCAGTCAGGCACAAGCTTACAGAGACTAGTTAAAGGGGTATTTTGCCCAAAAATCTGAATTCTATCAGCATTTACAGAACCTCATGTCATTATAAAACCATATGAACTTTCATGGAACACAAAAGGAGAAGTCAATTCTGTACATGGCAATCACAGTTAAAACAAAATTCAATGTAGTATCCTAAAAAAAAGTCACATAACGCAGCTATAAAGCTCCAAAAAGTACTAAAATAGCCAAAAAGAACAAAAAAAATACTGATATGATACAATACTCCAAGTATTCTGATGCCTTATGATGTGCGGGAAAAGACAAAAATTCAAAAATGAATTAACTTGACTTTTACATTGGTCAAATTTTATTAGCACTTTTGGGCATTTAACACAAAGCCATAAACTTGGACACTAAATATCTCATAAAAACAAAACAAAACAAACATTAAAAAAAACAAAACGACAAAAACACCAGATATTGATGACATGGTGAGTAGCTCATGACAACAACAAAAAATAAGAAAAAAGTATGTTATGGGATTCGCACCTTAGGAAGACTGGGCTTCATTTTATAGTTTTTATTTCTCCTGAAAAAAAGCATAAATAATAGTGGTTATGCTATTCCAGTAGACTCTTGTATTTGATGACGGTAAAAGTAAAGAGCTGTGTAGCACAGAGTGACAGAATCTCACATAAGGATGCCGTGGGCTCGCACCAGGAGTTTACTGCTGGTGGAGTTGACGAAGATGCCGTCCTCTTCATTGAAGGATCCAGCAGAGGACAGACGGTTTTGTCTCCCAGGATGCCCATTCCATCCCTCTCTGAAAGGGACAGCAAAAATATGGATATTAAACACATCTCACATCTCTAACTCTCTTAACTGCAAAAAAGCACAACAAATTGAATTAAATATCTAATGTTTGACTTCAATCATTCTGGAAACTCCAAAGACTGAAAAGGCTTCAAATACATTTCCTTTGATTCAACATGGTTTCGTTTTTTTTGTATGTACAGTATAGAGCAGGATAACTGAACTGTGTGGAACCCCTTAGTTGCAAGGTACAATACAAAATACAAAACCCAGCCAACAGGTATACATCTAGGTTTTTTGCAGTTAACAAAGCAAGTAGCTAATTGAGCCTTAGTAGGGTAGTACTTTTGTGGTAAGTCTTTGTCCAACATCTATAACGCCAAAACAGCACTTTCTATTTAGTAAATCGGACTGAATACAGACAATTATATAAGAAATGTATATTACTGTTTGGTTTCCACGTCGATTTATTATCATTTGAATGTAAATAGGGATGTTTACAAGCACGTATTTTCATCAGCCGCTCTGAATCCAATCAAATTTAAGATTCTGATTCCAATTTAAGATATACTGTATCCATATGAACCCTGAACATTGCAATCTGATTCATATATTTGTTCAGAGTGTGCAGAGAAAGCAACTGTGGTAATGTCACTTGAGCTACTCGTTTTTGCCTTGATGACACATCTAAAAAGAAAGTTGACATACTGTATGTGTCCGAAGTTTTTTTTTTTTTTTTTAAAGCAAATATTTAGCAAATATTCAGTCACCTCCACTGACCAGTATGTAAGACTTGAAATTTAAATATACAAATTCATAACACATTCAATTTATGTAAACGTGCAACATGGCACTGCTCATGTGTGCAATGTATTTTTGAATCCAATTCATAAAATAGTCCGATTCAGCCGTTTACATGTTTGTTTTTCCCTGCTGATAAAATTATTTCAGGTCCCTTCCAATCCAATCAAAGTTTCGTTCATTTCAAGCTCATTCAAACTGATTAAAGTGTTTCCATGAAGACTTTTCGGTTCAGTTGAGCAATCAGTCCGATTATAAACGGTTTGGGAGCATGTAAAAACAGCTACTGTGGCTTATCTGCTCATGTACTGTAAATTAGATTTTGAGGCAGTCGAGTTTGTATAAATAACCATTTTATAATTCATAGTTGTTAAAGGAACCATTCAGTATAGTTATTCCGAAATCACTGTCTTTATAGTGCTTCAGCAGAAATATTATCAGTGTGAAAGCTCAATGCAAGTATGCACCACAGACACAATATGTTCTTTAATTAACTCAAATGAAAATTTTGATTTCGGTGTTTTGATAAAAATGTATTTCTGTGCATCACTACTGGCCATGTGATGTCAACATGATGGGAGAATAAAACAGCCTTTTCTAGGACACCAATAGTTTCTAGGTATAAAACTCATTGGAAAAAATCTGTCAAATTAACCAAAAAAAATAAATAAATGGCGAAGCGGCGACAGTAATTTTATGACAATATTCTGTGTACAGGAGGTCACTGGAGCATGTGGTCGTGGACTGTGAAGAGCAATTACCCATCAGCCTAGGCCCTGTCCTCCAAATGAGCAAATAACTCCAGTCTTACATCACACAGGAAGCAGCTGCTCTTTTCTGGTGTTTAATGGTCACTTAGTAACCCAAAAAGTGTGTGGGGTTGCAAAACAGATTAGGGGGACTTTACAGTGCAACAAAAGCGCTGTTGTGAGCTCAGCTCTTGCCACTTGTTCTGGACATCAAGACTAATCTCAGTGCCATGCAGTCATTAACAAAGTATGAATCCGAGAAGGCCGTGGTTCGTCCTCCGGGTATCTGTGGAGTCACTGCTCTAACTCTACACCCACACGGAGAACTTAACAAGCCGTGTGAATACTGACCAGGGGCTCATCGTACACGCTTCATTTCCCCCTCCGAACAAAAAAAGTGTCAGGACACTACAGAGGGGATTTCAGAATCTCGGCTACTTACAGTAGAAACAAATAATACGCAGGTTCTCCAGGAAAATATTATCAGAGCGCTAGCAGAATGTCATGCTGATCTCATCAAAGTGCTTGTGGAATGAGATATGCCATACACACCTCCACCGGAATTATTATTATGGGGGATATAAGCTGTACTGTACTGCAAAATTTGTAGAAGTTATACTTATTATTCACAAAATCTGAGGTCACTACTGTAAATATATATATAGTGAATAATAAGCATTATATCTTACAAATTTTAGATTTAGACATTTTTCATGTCCACTGTATCTGTGAGGGATACAGGACAGGATGGTGGTCATATGCGAGGTGTTCTCACCGTTGATTGAGTGTGTTGCTTCCCTGCAGATCAGATAGTGGAGTGCGAGGATTCCTCCTGTTCACACCTGAAACAGAGCACAAAACCTGTACAACCAGACTGCCCCAAGACACATGGGTAATATGGAAAATGAGTGAGAGTTTATGAGAGGACTGTGTAATGGTTCTCATGAGAATAAGGCTGATGATACATGGGGCAAATTTGAGCAATTTTGCCCAACAACTTTTTTTGAGCAATGTTGCTTGGGCACTTTTCCATTGAGAATGGGTAACAAATTTCTATCTGGAAACTTTAGATCGTGGAGCCTGTGTTTCACCTGGTTGCCCGTTGATGGCAACATTGCTCAAAAAGTTGCCCCATATATCATCAGCCTAACAGGATGTGATGTTGATTAATTCACTGCTGTTGATGAAATGAAACATTTAACCATTCGATTAGAAGTGAATTACTTGAAACATGCTTATGTGAATCAGTTACATACGACACGCACCCCCACGGTTTCTGGGTTCATACATCCACATACAAAAACACCTGGAGAATTTCATTGTAGCACAACTAAAGCTGGGTGATATATTGAAAATATACCATATATTTGCAATATTTGTGTTGGCGATAAGATATATAGTCGTCTTATTATTTTTTTCATTTATCAAGTTTTCTTAAAATCTCCTTAAATTTTTAGGATGAAAATTTGCTTAATATTTGCTCACCCTCAGGACATCCAAGATATAGATGAGGTTGCTTCTTCATCAGAACAGATTATGGATCATGGACTTTTTGGCCAGAAGCGACAGTTTACAGTTAAAACGCCTTAATGGTGAATGTTTCTTACGAACATGCAGATTTTGACTTCACAAGACATTAATTGATGGACTGGAGTTGTGTGTATTAATTGTGGACTATTGTAATGTTTTTATCAGCTTTTTCAACTTTCATCAACTCTCATTCTGATGGAACCCATTCACTGAAGAGGATCCTTTGATGACCAAGTGATGTAATGCTAAATTAGGGGGGGGGGGGGGGGAGTAATTTTTTCATAATTACTCCTTCCCCAAGAGCATCATGGTTTTAACAACATTTGTAAAATTGATCATTTTACGAACCAATTCTTTCAGTTTTTCCATTTCCATGAACAGGTCCAAAATGATAGATTTGTCAATTCATCACTCGTTGTTACAATACATCAGTATATTAGTATATGTTCAGTATAAATAAATAAAAATAATATTTATTCTAATTCTTCATTGTGTTCATTTAATGAAAAACAGTGAAGAACACAAACCGATTATTTTATTTTAGTGAATTTTATTCATTTTAAGCCGTAGTCATAGGCATGTCCTGTGGGTCACACGCTAAACTCCATCTAAAACCATTTTAAACTGCATTTTGCAAGCAGCTTTTATGACCTTAATAATCACCAAAACAGAATATTTATACTTTTAAAAATTAATTTGTCAATTTAAGAGAGAAACTGTGATTTAAAATGTATACCTCCACTTATACATTCATACAAAAATAAACCTAACCTAAAATGACTAAAATACCTAAAATATAAACCTAATACACACACACACGTACGTATATATGTCAATTACTCATTTTGAGGTCTAAAATATATCACTATTTTGAGATATAAATATAGATCTTTTTTTTTTTTTTCAATTATATCACCCAGCCCTAACTACAACAAATGAATTATGAGGGAAAGTTTCTAACAGGTAGGAATCATAAATCTTTTTTTTCTTGTGTATTTGTGTGTATAGTCTGCAATCTGAGCTACCTCCATCAAGCAGACCTATTGTGAGCCCGCTGTCCTCAGAGGGCAAGAGAAATGAGTGTGTACTCTGTGCTGGAGCGGTGCTGGGGCGCGAGTGCTCAGAACAGGGGCTCCAGTGAGGGGACAGTGGTGGGCTGCCCGAGAAGCATGCATGCTGGACTGAACCCATAGAGAGGGCTGTTAGTGAAAGACAGGTGCCCAAACTGACATCATGCAGGAAAGCAAGACAGGTGCAAGACGGATGGGCAGAGACATGAGAGCAAGTCTTGCCAGTTTCAGCTCTGAATCAAATCAATGATTCTGTTATATATATATATGTGTATCTGCAGAGGTATGCATTAATATAGCCGTAACAGTAAAATTTAACGGGGTCCTCATGTCTTGGCCCGGGGTGCATGGAGTGAGGAGACGAGATGATGGAAAGGCAGCCTTACTGTATTTCTCCTCTTTGCACCTCTGCAGGATCTCTAAGCTTCTCTGATGCACAGGGTGATGCAGAAAACTAAAGCTATCCACACTTTTCACAACTGGAGCAGCAGCGTCATGCCCTTAGGAAGCCAAAAAACAAACAACACAAACAAGAAAGAGAGAAGAAAGAGAAAAGACAGATTAAATAGGGAGAAATAAGATGTGCTTGTCTATGCAAAACTAAATGTTTACTATCGGCATAAAGTCTGGTACACATGACATAGATTGAATATGAATGTGATTTTTGGTGTTCACACTTAAAAATCAGATTTGGGCCACAGTGAAATGCAGTGAATGTGATCTATGTGAAGGGCAACCCATAAGGCAGTGGGCAGCACTTACGGTTTAAACTAGATTGCTGAAACACCACTCTATGTGAGGTATCAAAGCATTAATATAAACCACTAAGGTTCAAACTGTTGTAATGAAAGAAAGGCATATAGATACTGAAGAGCTGGAGAGCAGGGCAATAGAAAACAAGCAAGAGGAGCTGGGCTAACATGGCATGGTTCACTAGCCAACATACACACAAAATAGCATATATTATATATAGGGCTGCACGATAAATCGCATGCGATATTTAACGCGCATCTTATGAGTAAAGCCGGTTCTGTAATCAGCGGTATTAACTACACAGAGCCGTTGTTCACTGACGAGCTGCGCAAAAAAATTGCGCGAATATGAACGTGGTTTTGCGCAACTCGTCAGTGAACAACGGCTCTGTGTAGTTAATGCTGCTCAATGTGAAAGCACGCACGTCATGGAGATTTACCGCTGATTACAGAACCGGCTTTCTGACAAGATGCGCATTAAATATCGCATGCGATTTATCATGCAGCCCTAGTTATATATATACTTCAAGTCATGACGTCTAACTACTTTTTATATATATATTCTTTCCTTTCTCTTTCTCCTTTTGAAATCTTTGAAATAACTGATTAAACTCTTTCAAAACTCTCTTTCAAAAACTGCCTCCAAAATTTTGAATAATAGTTTATACCTTTTTAACATAATGACAGTACTTAAAGAAAAAAATAGTGTTACAATATGCGACAGCATGATATTCTGTGTAACAATTTAAATTTTAGCTTAGCAGGCTAATTGTTTTGCATACAATACTAACGTTAGCTAGCTAAAAAAAAATGATAGTTTCCTTAGACCAGCTGCAGCTTCACGTATTTAATGCAACAACATTTAAAATGAAACGCATTAAACTAAGGAGTTTGATGGTTAGAACTAAACTGATCAAGATCAACTTGTTTAATTTGTAGTGAAGCACACAACAGAACCCCAAAAGCAGTATTTTTAGCCAATAGAATCATTTATTGATCCAACTGGGCTCTTGGATTTGGCACAATAAGAAAATATAGATATTTTTAAGCTTAAAGTGGAAATGAAGCAGTCAGTCAAGTTTACATTATTTAGGAAAATAACTTCCATTTTAATAAAAAAACATATAACAAACATGATTAATGTAACCATTTTAAAGAAAAAAGGTTGTTTTGTTATAGCTTTTGGCACAAGGGCGCCGCCATCTTGCAGTACCACCACGTGTGACATCACGGGGTTGGTTCGCTCCGTTGGCCAGTAAAGTAATATAAGCATTTCTTTACATTTTGAACACACGCTTGTTTTGAAATGGAGGAAGACGAACTTGAAAGCACTGTTGAGTCCATAATAAGTGTAAAAGAAGTCGTGAACCTGCTGGTTTGGGGTACAGTGCGGATCGGAAACAATACTCGTTTACGTGTATACTCCTCAAGACTGTCATTCCGACTTGCTTTTATGTGCATTCGCTGATGAAGGTGCGAAAGAAAGCTCAATTTGGTAGCCTACTCATGTGCTGTCCGAGCCGAGCTGTGGCTTTTTGTGTGTGTGCGGCGCCGCCGGCGCGAACAGAAATGATCTATCACAACGCGTGAGTACCGCATTTAAATCTCTTTCAGAAAAGGTCTATCACAGCGTGTAAGTACCGCATTGAAATCTATTTCGTGCTGTCTCATGCTTGAATGGCTTAAAACACTTTAATATTTAAACTGACAAGGCTTAAAACACATGAGAATGATAAACTTTATTGAGGAAGCAGCGCTGGTCCGATTGTTCAGATAACGTTAGGTGATTAGTTAAACACTACGTCCTGTTAACAGCAGGAAAGCTAATTGTATTCGCAGGTGAACATAAAAT